ATGGCATTACATGGTTCAATGGGGATTGAACTTCTCATTCATTACATTCTAGCTATAATGCATTTTTATTCCATTCAATGTTATAATACCACTTTTTAACCTATTAATCATAAAACCCTCGATGGGGATGATCATACTTTATCATCATTTTTTATTTTAATATATATATATATATATATATATATATATATATATATATATATATAACATTTTTTAGTTGGTGTTGAACACTTTAAAATTCTCAATCATTAAAAAGAGATAATGTTGAAAATAATAAAAATAGTTACCATGTGTTTTAGTGTGTATATATATATATATATATATATATATATATATATATATATATATATAATAAGTTTAGTTAATAAAACAAATCAATAAACAAAACAGTAAAATAAAAACTATAAAGTGGAAAGTGGAAAGTGGAAGGTAGATTTTGTTACTTTAATAGAAAATAAGAGGCATTAAATGAAAAATGATAAAATATATTAAAAACGAAGGGTCCTCCTATATACACGAATTTTTCGTGTATTTGTTGCATTGAATTGCGTGTCTACAGTAAATCAATCAGTCAGTGCCGATTAATATGTGTGCCGAATCATTTTATCGATAAAATATAATATTACAATTTTATACCTTCGGTTTACATTGTAGTTTTAGAAAAAACCCTAGATTTTGTCAATTTAAATCTTAAACCCTTAAAACTTTATTAATTTTGAAAACTAACAAGTAAGTAAAATGATCTCATGAATACATTTATAAAAAAAGTAATAATGAATATTATTAAATATTAATAGAAAAAAGTAATTTGTTAAATAAGAAATATAAACTATGAAACATTAACAAAAATAGAAGGGATAAAAATGAAAATTTGGTTACAATTTCTTTCTATATATAGAGGATTCGTATTTCTTATATGGTACACTGAAAGCGACTTGCTGAAAGTAACTTTCCTTAAAAGCAAATATATGATATTTGTTAAAAATATAGATTTTATTAAATGACAAGTTGGAAAGAATGGATGGGTGACACATATTATGAGGTATTTGTACTTAACCTTTCTTATTATTATTATTATTATTATTATTATTATTATTATATATTTTTTTTCTCTTTGTTATATTTAGAGAGATGATATTCATCCAATGGAGACAAATGAAATAGATGAAAATAATAGCTTCAACGAAAGTAACTATTTTTTCGACGACACATCACCATTCGAAACGGATATTCATCCAATGGACACAAATGAAACATATGAAAATGAAAGTTTAAACGAAAGTCGTTATTTCTTTGATGACACGTCACCCTTCAAAACAAATAAGGTATAAATTCATTAGTATGTTGTTACTGTAATGTAAGCATCAAGTGGATTTGTCTGCTACTGATAATAATATAATTGTCAGGTGTTCAATTCTCGTCAAGAATTGATGGATTGGGTGCAAAATATGGCAAATACTTTAGGTTATGTCATCGTCATAAAAAATTCTAAACATAACTTTAATGTTGTATTTCAATGTGACCGTGGAGGTACATACAAAAGTACACAAATCTCCAAAAAAACAAGGACAAAAAAAATTAATTGTCCATTTAGCCTACAGGGTAAATATTCGTCAGTAGATAATTCTTGGAAGATAAAAATGATATGTGAATTTCATAACCATGAGCCGTCATTATATTTAGAAGGTCATCCTTATCCACGACGACTAACTGAATATGAATGTCGAATAGTGGAAGATTTGTTGAAAAAAAATGTCAAACCAAAAGATATATTATCTGCACTAAAAAACCTAAATCCGAAAAATGTATCTACTCTCAAAACTATCTACAATGCAGACGAAAAACTTCGACGTAGGGAGAGAGAAGGTAAAACTCAAATGCAAGGTGTTATGGAATTTCTAGATCAAAATGGATATGTTTATTATAGTCGTGCAAATGTTTTGACAAATAAGTTAGAAGATTTATTCTTTGCTCATCCAAGGTCATTAGAAATATGGCGTGCATTTCCACATGTCTTGTTAATGGATGCAACATATAAAACAAACAAGTACGGGATGCCTCTATTGGAGATTGTTGGTGTAACTCCAACAAATATGACATTTTCCATTGCATTTGTGTACATGCATGAAGAAAAACAATCCAACTATGTTTGGGCTTTAGACTATCTAAAATCGGTAATGGAAGGATGTATGTTGCCGCGTGTTATTGTGACTGATAGAGAAATGGCTCTCATGAACGCATACACTATTATATTTCCAGATGCTAAAGGATTACTTTGCAGATGGCATATAAATAACAATATCATGAAGAAATGCAAATCATGTTGGGATGTTCTTTATACGTCATGGACGATGTTGGTTAACTCTGAAACAAAGGAAGCATACAACAAGAATTTGGCACAAGTTGAAAAAACTACAAACAATTATCCAGGTATTTTTAAATATACATTATAATATGTTATAAATCATTACATCAACTGAAATTTTTTATGTATTTCAGATGCATTTTCTTATCTAAACAAAACATGGTTGACACCACACAAAGAAAAGTTTGTGTCTGCATGGACCGATAAGTTTCTTAACTTTGGCAATCACACAACTAATAGAGCTGAAAGTCAACATGCCAAGTTAAAAAGATATGTCGAAACATCAAGATCAGATATCGCCAAATCATTGAAGCGTATTGCTGATGTTGTTGAGTCACAATACACAGGTATAAAAGCGAGTCTTGCGCATAACAAAATTTTCATTGTACATCGGTACTACGAAATACCACATCTAAAACTATTGTGTCCTTTCGTTTCAATTTATGCACTTGATATCATTTTCAAAGAATATGAGCGGTCCAAAGAATTTGGATTTGTTTATGAAAATTGTGGATGTCAAGTACGTACAAGTTATGGGCTGCCATGTGCGCATGAACAAGCTATATTTGTTAAAAAAGGTCATTGTGTACCGCTTCATTCAGTAGATAAGTTTTGGAAGAAACTTGATTTATTAGAATGCAACTCGTTAGAAGATGATAAATTGGGTTGTGCAGTTGAGGTAAATATGTTTAATGCTCATTACGAAAAACAATCAACAGATCGTTGGTTGATTATGCCGGTCACTAGCTTTCTCATTGCTAACAAGTATAATGTAATACTTATTTTTCTAAGCAAAGATAGTCCGTCAACATGTTTTCCACCATGGCTTGGTCCCCAAGACATCTCAACTCATAGAGTTGTTGTTATTGCTCTTGTTAGAGGTGATCATTATGTGAATGTTGATTTACATGGAGGATATCCAATGCCTACTATTTTACCACTTTGGCGTCACAACAGATCATCACAGTCTGCTGGATGGGAAACTGTTTATGCTGCTCGCCTGAATTCCTACATTTCTCCATTTGCAACACACAATAATTGTAACAATTCTACAGTTATAATATCTGATAATTAGTAAAATCAAATTTATGTTTTGTTGTTTATAATTATTAAGATCTGTATAAATTAAAACAAAATTGTTATATATGTGCGATTCTGATGTTTCTAATATATATATATATATATATATATATATATATATATATATATATATATATATATATATATATATATATAGAGAGAGAGAGAGATGTTCAAGACTAAAACCATTAAATAATAAAATAAATAAAAAATAAACCTAAATTAGTAACTTTCATTAATTATTAAATGCCTTTAATTCCATAAAAAATGAATAAAAAAATAGTTGTATGATGTTAATATCCTTGACTTCATCTTTTTTAACAATCATAGTTTAATATATTATTAATAATATTATTATATTTTTTTATTCTAATATAACAATACAAAAGATGTATGAATATTGAAAACGTAAAGGGCAAATTTTGAAAGTTTTGTAGAAGTAGGAGGGAAAAAACTGAAATATTAATTATAACTACTTTTCACTCATAATGATTGATATAGTGATTGGCGTTACTTCAGTTTTGTGTATTTAGAACTTTTATCGTGCATTTAGAATTACCTATAGATTTAACAAGGTTAGGATTATTGTATATTTTACTGTCGATTTTTAAAGGTAAGGGAGGGGTTACGGTCATAATGCCCTTTAAATAAGATCCAAACCCTAAAAATCAGGGTTTGGAATTTTCGTGAGTATGCCCAGTTTACTCATACGTATCCACAGCGTATGCAAAAGAATCTGCATCACCTTTTAATAAACTACGCTCAGGTACGCCACACATAAGGACTGAAATAGCCATACTTTTATACTTAAAGCCAAAATTTGAAAAGTACCTAAAACTCGGATGTTAAATATATTAATAGGATTTTTGAAATAATATTATACCACTAGAAGAAAACACCAAACATTAAATAAAATTCTGAAATATATTAATAAATTTATTATATAAATAGAAGGGCTATAAATGAAAATATATCTAAGTATAAACTGGTTTTTGAAAATTTATGTAGGATTTGACTAAATTGAATGTAATCAATTAATTCATTCGTGCCAATGGAAAATATTTCATGTATTTAGAATCTCCCTTTTCCTATCTAGTCCTCCTATGGAGTGTATATGACTTGTATTAACTGAGGTTGACTTGTATGGTTGTATTGGAAGGTGAAGAAGTGGCATGATGATATACAAAGGTTTTTTTTTTTATTGATATAAAAAAATTTACACAAATAGTCCTTATAGTTTGTGGTCATCGACTCATTTGGCTCTTCCTACCATCGTTACTTTATGTTTTTGTTTTGATTTTTGTGCCTACTTGAGTTAAAAATATTAGATGGGGCCAACCCACTCCCATCAAATATCTCTCTCGCTCCCTCATTTCGGGCCCAAGTCTTGGCATCATATTTAAGCCAAAAAAGAAAATACCCAATACAAGGCATGCAGAGTAGTTTTGAAATACGTCTATACAACAAAATCATTAAATTTCAACATTTACAATAATGTACAATAAACCTTGAAGACAAATGTATTAACTCCCAAGATCTTGAGTCAATCTGGACGATGAAGGTTGGATATGAAAATGGTGCAACACTAGAGAAACTAAAAGGGCTTATGTCCGTTGGGGTTCACATCGAAAACACCAAGGCGGCAGTGGACGGAAATAACTCACCGGTAAATATGGATGACGACGTCGATGAGAATATCGAAAACACCAAGGCTATGGTGGAAAGAAATAACTCACCGGTAAACATGGATAACGACGTCAATGAGAAGCCTAATAGTCCGGTCGGAAGATTAAGGTTTGATGTTATATATATACATATATATATATATATATATATATATATATATATATATATATAATCAAGTTTTAAATTTGAAAAATCATAATTTATAACAACTTAACCAACACACTCGGAGGAGGTAAACATGGTCATGTATTAGTATACTAATGGTAACAAATGTGCCGAACTCTTGGGGAATAGATATAATTCAAGCTCAATGGTCAATGCGACCATGTGTGTAACAGCCCGAAGTCCAGGTATTCCTCTGTTGGACATTGCATTTTGATTAAGTTAATGATTTAGGGTTTTCATGGTAGGCGAGTACGCTGGGCGTACAAGGTGTACGTTGCGCGTACTCGCGCGCCTCATTTGGACGTGTTCCCCCTCAGGTACGCGGGGCGTACCCAAGGTTACGCCCGGCGTAACTCATTCATAACCAAACCCTAATTTCCTTTGTTGAGGTTATAAAAGGAATGTGTGGCTCGACTTCTCAGCCACCACCCCTCAGAGTGAAACCTAAATAGTGTGTGCCATCATCCTTAAGCCTTTGTGTGTGCATTCTAAGCTTGGTAGTGCCATTTTAAGGTTGCAAAGGAGAAGAAGAGCTTGTTGGAGAGGCTAGAAGTGGTGCTCAAGTGTAGATCTGAGCTTTGCAAGGGTTAAAGCTTCAATTTCAGGTAAAAAGTTCGGATCTTGACACTTGGTTCTTGATGTATGCTTTAGATGTCATTTTCTAGGGTTTAAGTCCCAAAGGTGGAGACTTTTGTGCAAATGGCCTCCATAAGCTTAGATGCTTCATGTTTCTGATCTATTGGAGTTGAAGACTCATAAAAATGGCATCTTGGACGTGGGTATTGCACCATGCATGAGATCTAGGTCCTTGAGTTTGAATAAAAGGTTGTTAGGTGGTGTTGGAGCCTTTACAGCCATGCCAAGGCTTAAAGGTCTCGACTTTATGGGTTTAGACACACTAAGGGAGTCGGATCTAGAAGTTGGATTAATGACTTAACTGAGTAAGACCATAAAATGGAGGGTGGCTAATTCTGGTGGTTACGCAGGGCGTAACTTCCAGTATGCGTCGCATACTGGGTGGAGACCCCGATCCGGGGGGAGTTGGCGATGTACGCCCTGCGTACATCTAGCGGTACGCCTCGCATACTCTCATGGTTGACTCTTGTTGAATTTTAGGGTTTTGGTCAACATGAGGACTTTAAGGGGTAAAGTTTTAGTAGTGGAAGTCTTCGTGTATTAAATGATATTTTTATGCTTAGGCGAGGTTGAGTCGTCGTTGGATTCGGTGATAGCGAGGACACGAGATCTTAGACTTCCCACGAGGTGAGTTTTCTCACTATACTGTACCCGGAAGGGTTTGACTGTGTGGCCGGAAGGTCGAATATGATATGAGATATATGCATTATGTGTGATAACTTAATCGTTATATGTGCCATTTATGATATGCTTGATATGGGCCGGAAGGCGTTGTAATATGGACCGAAAGGTTGACGTGGGTAGGACCGGAAGGTTTACCCGGTCGGGACGGAAGTCCCCTGAGACAAATGGACCGGAAGGTTAGGGCCTGGAAAGGCGTATGTGTGTAGGTTGTATTTTGGGGAACTCACTAAGCAATTATGCTTACAGTTGTTGTGTTACGTGTTTCAGATACTAGCGAGAACCGTGGGAAGGCGCCGGCGTGATCGTACACATTATCGGGGAAAAACTATTTTTATGATCTTTGTGATGTGTTCGGTTGTGACAACATTGTTTACGTTTGGATTTGAAATATTAATCGATGTTTTGATGTTTGCAAAAATGAAAAATTGGTTTTAAAATTTGCATCGTTACAAGTTGGTATCAGAGCCTTGGTTTGAGGGATTCGGGTACACCTTCGGGCGTAACTGAACTCAAACCGGGGATTTGAGAGAAAAAATTAATTAATAAATCAATAAAATTTGATAAGTGATTTTTGAAACAACCAAAGAAGAAGAAGTGCGTACGGTCAGCCAGCGCCCGAACGGTAAAATCCCCAAAATACTCTTACAATATGTGTTATGAGATATGATATGATATAATACGCATGCTAGTAGACTAGGTATTCATATTAGGACTACAATGACCTGATTTGTGATGCCTTAGTCTAGGGAAAATTGCTTCTATGAGGTGCTTTGAGAGCGAGTGGGTAGCTAGTGCATGGCAAAAATAGAGTACTCAGGATTCGGGGTTTGGGGAGGAGGACTTGGGGTGAATGATGATGCGGTGTAGTCGGTAGTATTGGGCCCGTACTGCTGAAGACACCGGGTCAGTGGGCAACCCAAGTAAGAATCCCTGGGTATCGGAGACTGAGTAGGGCTGCGTTATCGAGTGCGATTATGCTCGATAGAGTCTCTGATATTTTTATGTTGTATTTCAGAGACATCATGGTTGGACCACGTCACAGACCTGGTACGAGTAGCGTGACTGACGAGGAGCTTCGTCAGATGATTCATGAGGAGGTGGCTGCAGCGATCCAGGCTGAGATTCCGGAGATGTTTGGGTCTATTAAGACCACACTGATGGAGACATTTGATGAGCGGTATGCCGCGTTGACTGAGGCCGCAGCCGCTACAGCTACTGCAGCTGTGGCCGCTGCCAGACCACAGGGAGGTGACTCGTTGCTGTTTCGGGAGTTCAGCAACACGAAGCCACCTGAGTTTGACGAGACGCGGGATCCGATCGTTGCCCATGAGATGGATTGCTGATATCGAGGGATGCTTCTACACTTGTTCATGTCTGGAGCATCTGAGGGTACGGTTCCCCTTGAACCATCTCCGCCTGGGAGCATAGGATTGGTGGAAGTTCGTGACGGCGAACTTCATTTTGGTAGAGGTTTCAGTTGTGACTTGGAAGAGGTTTACTACTATGTTCAGAGACGAGTACGTTCCCCCCCGGTGGAGAAGGAACGGTTGGTTCAGGAGTTCTTAACCCTCAAGCATGGTAATGATTCTGTCACGGTGATTACGCGGAAGTTTCATGAGAGGGCGATGTTCTGCCCCGAGCAGGTGTCCACGGAGCAGGCTCGGATGAGTCGGTATTTGGGTGTGCTGAGGAGGGATATCCGGGAGTTCACATCGAACTCGTCATATCAGACTTTTCCTGAGCTTTAGGCGAATGCCAGGAAGCGTGAGATCGAGTTTGAGACCCAGGCCAGGGAGGAGGCCGAGTCTCAACGGGTGGATCGGTGGCCGGCTCAGTCTCAGCCGGTAGCAAAGAGGACCAAGTCCGCCGATTCGAGATCCGGAGGTCAGAAGGGCCACACTTACGGAAAGTGCGGCAAGGGTCACGAGGGGGGCATGTCGATTGGGTGCTTGCTACAAGTGTGGCAAGGAGGGGCACATTGCTAGGGATTGCCCCAAGGGATTCATGGTTTGCTTTCATTGCAACCAGACCAGCCATCGGAAGGCCGAGTGCCCCCAACTTCGCCAGGGATCTACGCCTGCTGCCAAGGTTACCAAGACTCGACCAGTGAAGGCTGAGGCTATGAACGCTCGTGGAAGAGCTTTCCAGTTGACTGCGGAGGAGGTCCGCGCGGCGCCTGATGTCTTAGCCGGTATGTATTCTTTCATGTATTTACTTTTATGCTAAGATATTGTGCTTATATTATGATATGCGTAGGTACTTTTCTTGTGAATTATGTACCTGCTTTGGTATTATTTGGCTCGGGTGCGAGTCGGTCTTTTGTATCGTTGGCTTTTAGCCAGCACATCGGTATCGATCGGGAGGTGATGAGTTGACCCCTGCGAGTTTCTATAGCAGATGAGAAAGCGGTATACACCACTGATGTTATTCGAGGATGTGTGCTCGATATTTTTGGGGTCGAGTTCCCTATAGACTTGGTTCCTATAGCTATGGGGGATGTCTGCGTCATCGTGGGCATGGACAGGTTGAGTAAGTTTGGGGTAGTCATTGACTGTGAGAGACAGTTGGTGACG